AGAAAATGAAGATGAAGTTTTGATATAATTAATATATTTTGATTGTCCTTTGAGATGGTTTTGTTAACATTTGAAAGTCAATATCATTGTTGTCATCGCATACAATAAATGATTTATATTATTGTTTATTATTTTATATAACTATGTAAAAATGTATCTAATATCAAATTTATTTTTAATAAATAATATATAATACTTATATTAGATATAATAATAGACATATCTAAACTAATAAGTAAAATTTGTAATTGTTGTTATTCTATATGAATATTACAATAAAGATCGAATTACAATGATTTAACATTACTTGACCAATATTGTGACCCATTAAAACATAATTATTAGTTGTAGTTTATGTATTAAAAAATTAAAAATATGAAACTTTAACAAGTAGCTTATTGCCAACATTTGATTTATTAGCTGTAATTTATCTTTTATACAAATGCTTAAATTGAAGTTATTGAAAGAATTTGGTGTTAATATTTATTTGTTTGCATTGTTACGATTTCAACTTTTTATAAATTGGAAATTATAAAACGATAAGTCACTCAGACTGAATTAATTCACAGATGGATTTATTTCTTCTCTTCCTTCTTCTCAGTGGCAGCAGCCTTTGGTGCGGCTTCCTTTGGTGCAGCAGCAGCTCCCTTCTTTCCTCCCTTCTTTGGCATGTGTATTAAACGAGTGATTACAAAGATGCTTTCTTCCCTTTTATAGAGGCAATTATTATTGTGGAGGTATGACAGCCATGCCATGTCCAATAATCGGGAATACTCGATGCCACATCACTGTGCTATTTTTGGTGTGCTATTTATAACAATGACGTGGCACAATGTGGTGGTGAATAAAGGTGAAGAATTATGTGATCTGCCGAATTTCTATTTCTGTGGGTAATTTTCAACATTTAATACTACAATAGACCTAAACTTCGTAATAAAGTGGGATGTTTTGAGTTATGGCATATCAATCGTTTTGTGATGTCTATTTTAGATTGAAGTGATTTGCTGTTTGTCACCGCAATACACCCGTTGTGTAGGACATAATATGGCTGTCATACCTCCACAATAATGATTGCTCTATAAAAGGGAAGAATGCATCTTACAGTTCACTCGTTAAATACACGTGCCAAAGAAGGGAGGAAAGAAGGGAGCTGCTGCTGCACCAAAGGAAGCCGCACCAAAGGCTGCTGCCGCTGAGAAG